CTGAATGAATGAAAATATGAAATGACAATGAATGATGAATTGAATATGAAAACCTGATGATGAATTATGAAATGATGAAATTGACTCTATGAAATGATAGAATGAATCAATGAAATGACAAATGCTGGACTAATTGACACAAATCCGCCATTCACATACGTTTTGGGTTATTGAGAGGGTCTAAGCTTATCATACTTATAAGTTAATTATAGCTGCCGAATTTCTGTTTTATGTTCGTGCCGTGGGTCGCGAATTAGTTTACGCTTCCGGCTCGACACTCAGGTTAAAACACTAGGCTATTTTCTTACTACGACTACTTACCGCGTACTAGTAATACTACTACTAGCGTCAACGAGTTAACGATGTACGTAGTAGCTCTATGTACATGTCGTAGCTCCAGGAACGGTATTGCTAGGGTTAGAATACCGTTATTATTGACCTGTGTATTCATAAAACCGTATACACCGGCGTATTATTACCGGTGTATTGACGTTAGTCACCATCAACCTTGGTCGGGTTTAGTACTACGTCCGTAGCCCTAAGTACATAGCGCTAGGTATGACGTACCGTCGTGCTCTAGTAGTGCTGAAGGGTCCGTTGTCGTAACAGGTACGGCCGATATGGGCCCAAGGATAGAGAACCATTGGGTCACCAATAAAAAGCAATGTGCCTAAGACCTAACGCCAACTCTAACCTAACTCCCAATCCTAAACCCTAACCCCTAACCATAACCGGCTAACCTATGTATAGTGATGTAATTATTATAGTTTTAATTTATATTGAATGTAAATGACATCTGGTTTTACTTGGGACCCGGCATGTTCTTCTATCCTTGAACCCAACGATGTGTTACCCCGAGGTACATATATTGTAACCCAAAGTGGTATCCAGTACTTGTAACTACAGACAGTGTACCCTATACGCCTAACACTAAAACCCTAACCGCTAACCCTAATCTCTAACCATACTAACCCTAACCTAAACCATACCTCATATAAAAATATATAACATATAATCTCTATATAATATATAATAGAAATTCGAAGGCAACGCACAATCAAGAAAGGCGCTATATTCTTATAGCTATGTTATACCGTTGGGAAAATTCGCTGATCGGCCGGCGAATAACTGCGAGCCACAGTGGTGGCGGGCCGTCCAGTTTTAGCACGTAGCTAATCTGTAGATACTTGCTGGCAAAGGTCAGCCGCAGCAAACAAATACTCGCGCCCTCCGCGCAGCGCGCAACAAGCAAGCAGCGCTCATAAGGTCTATGTCCCCCAGGGTACTGCCGGAACGTACCCTGGGTACGGTCCGGTATACCGGAACGTACTGTGGTCACTATTTGATATGGTTAGGGTTAGGATTAGGGTTAGGGTTAGGATTAGGGTTAGTGTTCGGGTTCAGGTTAGGGAGTAGGCGTAGGCGACTCCCTAGACTCGTTAGTGGAGTAGGCGAGGTACGGTCCGGCATATTACATAGTGCCAGGGTACGTTCCGGTATACCGAACCGTACCCAGGGTACGTTCCGGCACTACCCCGGGGGACATAGACCCTCTCAGCGCAAGCAGCAGCAGCAAATGCCCGCCGTAGCCGAGCCGGTGTAGGTGTGACGAAAACTGCGCGATGTTACGCTTCCCGCTATACGGATTCGCGCGCCCGCCCTCCTTCGGCGCGCGAATTCGTATAGCGGGCAGCGCGAAATACTACATACAACACCGCGGTCGCGTGCGCCCAGTCCCGCGGAAGTGCGCGGTTTAACCGCTCTTGGCGGTCGGGGAACAACGCATCTTTTGCGCAACGCCATCTTGTACCCGGTCTCTCTGGCTGCGGGTACCCGCTGCGCTGGGTAAAATCGTGCTACTAATTCATACTACTAATAATCGGACACAATAGGAACATTGGGTAAAAATCGACAATAACATTGCACAGAATATGAATATTTACAATTTAGCATGGGGAAAAAACTGTTACGTATGACATTTATGTGACAGCACAACCTAACTTGAAACACAAGAACCCCTGGAACATAATAGTAATATGGTGTAAATGAGAAAAAGTTATTATAACAGCATGTACGAATGGGTTGCAGTTTTCATTTGAAAACCTCTTGATAAACAATGTTTTTTGTGTTATTCTCTGGTGGAAATATGTAAAGATTCCTGGTGTGTGGAACTGTTGAGCTGCCCACGTACGGCATGTACGTATGGCACGTACGGCACGTAACAGCATGTACGAATGAGTTGCACTTCTCATTTGAAAGCCTCTTGATAAACAATGCAGTCGTAACCTCTGAGCTGGTCCTGGCTGTGCTGTTTTAGTACTGGTTTCGGTTTCACAATAGCAACAGCTGATGAAGCGATGGCAAGAAATAGTCATCGATTTTTCTGTGTGGCAGCACTGTACAGTGTACGAATTGACGGGTTTTTCACGGATTTTTCGGTGAGTTTGACGGTTTGACAGGTTTTTTTCGTCTAGGAACACTCCCCGGGTATAAGAGATGGCCCTGTGAAAATTCCATCCAGATCGCTTGGGCGGTTTGGCCGCCTATAGGGAAGATACATACATACATACATACATACATA